TTTGCAACTTTTGGTGTCAAGTGAGACGTGCGTTGACACAGGGCTGCAACCCACTCTGGGGACTCAACAGAAACCCATACCAGCCCAATGCCTGGTCTGGTGGGCACGCAGACCGAGGACCCGAGGACTTATAGACTTATAGACTCTCCAGTCCTCCGATGCAGAGTCTAAAAGTCAAAGTCAGGGCAAGAACCCGGGTGGATGGCACAATGAGGCCTGAAATGAGGCCAAGGGGCAGCCTAATTTCGATCGTCTATCGGGTGTGCTCAAACGGCCCTGCTAATTGCGTTTGGTGCTGGCAACTGTGATGCAGATAGTCTGTTGGGTAGACTGTGCTTGAAGCCCGTGCGATGCCTGACTCAACCAGAGAAGCGCCTTCTGCACTTTGCCCCGCATTGCCAGTCAATTGGGTTCTCGAATGGAGTTCAGTCCGTTTACAAGCCGAGGCCATGGCGAAAATCGCGAGTCGCCGATTTTTGCCACGGCCGCCCTGGCCTGCGCATCGTGCATCTCGCACGCTTTCTTCCACCACCTCTTCCGCAAAATGTTCTTGACTTATGACAAACGGGCCCGCCGCTTTGGGAATGCGGTTTGCAACGATCCTGCCCGCCTCACAGCACAATGCTTTTGTGGCTCCGAAACTTCAAGGATCTCCAAGCCCCAGTCTGTAGAGTAAAACGCACCAGGACGTACGGTCCCTTGATTCCCCAATCTTCTGTGCTACACCCAGCCAATGCAACGAGGCTAGGCCAACTGCAGGATCAGCAAAGCGAATTCCTTGCTGGAGCAGTTTTCATCGTGGATGCACGCTTGCAGCAATGCTTCCTTCTGCTGGCAAGCTTATGATCCCCTTGGGTTTCCCTCCAAAACAACCCGAAACGGGGGATTGCAAGCAGAGGATTGTCATGTCAGGTGCTGTTGCCCGACCACTTAGCAGCAACTGCAATCCTGATTTCCAGCAATCCTTGTAATGCCTCAGCTGCTGTTGCCCGACCACTTGGCGGCAACTGCAATCCTGATTTCCAGCAATCCTTGTAAGATGTAGCTGCGCAACGCTCTGGCTCAGTGTGAAGTACCGCTAGTTCGGTGGTCCGTCGTGGATGCACAACCTGAACCAAAAGGGGTTCTCGACTTAAAGACATACCCAGATATTGCACTAAGCCATAATGTAAGGCTTCACCGGTCCGTGAGATACGATCGAAAAGCGGAGGTCTGATGGAAACCCGAAAAACTCCTCCTCTGTCAAGGAAAGGGTCTCACCAGTTCGGCTTAGGCTTGCAAGGAGCCTTGAAACGAGGTAGAGAAATAGTCTATCAACAACAGGCTCAGGAGGCGCCCGTACACTTGAGGCGGAGCTTGTGGTGGGGTCACGGAGTCTCTGTCTAGGCTCACTGAGCTGGCTTGGAGTTGGACCGAGAAGTCGGACACTGGGGCGAGCCTGCCTTGGCGGAGCCAGTGACACTCCACTGGTGCGCATTGGCAGGCGAGGTGCAAATCTTGCAGAAGAGGCAGAGACTGTCTGCAAATCAGTCCACGCCACGCTGTAAGAAAGCACGCTGCCCGGCTGTGTTGAGCTGACATTGCCAGCCCATGTGTCGCACGTTTGCTTTTTGGATTCTCATCGAAAGCAGTCTTACCAAAGCACGAGGGGGTTTACGGGGTTGAAGGGAATCTCACGAGAGCAACGCTTGTTGTCTCTGCCGGCAAGCAAGCTGCGTCGGCTTTCCAAAGGTGAAGCCCTGCGTGTGTTGCGCTGATGGCCTTTCTGGTTGCCGTGGTGAAAGTGGAGGGTTCGCGCTGCAATTGTTCTTGTGCTTAGGAGGGGGTAGTTGGGGTTGGATTCCGCGAAAATTACAAAAGGAAGCTGGCGCCCGACTTGCCTGTCTATTCCCGGCAAGGATAGAGTTGAGTGGTAAATACCCCTTGGCCAATCAAATTCATCAGCGCCATTGCTGTGTGAAAGAACAGCTGCCACAGAACCCACGTGAATAGTCTGAGAGACCTTGAACTGCATGGTGGTCAAACATCTGCCCCCCACATCGCAAGCAGACAGTGATCCTTGCCCACGCCGACACGCCGTGCTGCTCCCAGATGCCGGAATTGCTAAGACTGCCCGTCCGAATACAAAGCTCATGAGCGTCGTTTTTCTTTGCCCGTGCAGTCGAGGGTATGTTCAAACGCTGCAGCTCTTTAAATATTGTTTGATTGCTCTCAGCTTAACACCTCAAGCTGATGCTAAGTCGAAAGGCCTTCAGCCAGGGTGGCCTTGGGCTCAATCTTCCACAGGCTCAAGGCACCATTTTTGCAATCCACGTGCGAGTTGCCAGCTGTGAAAAGCATCCAATAGCTTACAGGCCCGAGACAAATAGCTGCTAATAGCTGCTGACAGCGCTGTTTGCCTCCGGCGAAGCCTTGCTATCTCAGGCCGAGAAGCTCCTCGGCTGACTCCCAAAAGGAAATCTCTCGTGTTTCTCGGCGGGTCTCAGCCCAACCTGAACTTTGCTTTGGCCTCGTGCAAAATGCTGCGCAGAAGCCGTGCACCTTGTTTTGCAAGCTGCACATGATCCTTAAGTCAGAAGGTAGACCAGGAAAAGCGGCCCAGCTGCGCCAATGTAAAGGTAGCCAAGGGCCCAACGCTTGTGTTGCTTCTGGTGTTGGCTTGAACAGCTCCTGGCGTCACGGGGACAAAAAAAAGAAGTAGCCCTACCATCTCAGCTTGCAACGTTCTTGCTGCCGGAATTGTGTTCGTGCAAAATGCTGCGCAGAAGCCGCGTACCTTGTTTTGCAAGCTGCACGTGATCCTTAAGTCAGAAGGGAGACCAGGGAAAGCGGCCAAGCTGCATCAATGTAAAGGAAGCCAAGGGCCCAGGAGCGCTTCGGTGTATTGTCTAAAGCAAAAACACACTTGCGTTTTGCGTGGACAAACGTCGGCCATAGCTTCGATTAATCTTTCAAGCTAAGCCCATGGTCAGGCGGTCTGGAGGACCGTGTATTTTGCTGGTTGTTACGTTAATCCGGAAGCTGTCGGAACACCCCGCGAGCTGCTTTTTGCGGCCCCGGAGGCCCCATTTTGGACTTCAGCACGTTGCCCGGCAGAATGTCTCACCAGACGCTTGTGCTTTTAGAACGTGATGGTTTCTGGTAAGACAACTGGCACGCCTGAATGCGTTTCTGGCCTGAGCAAGCAATATGCTCAGAAGCACAGCACGTCTTTCAGTAACAACATGAACGCGTTAAGGACAGCCCCGAAATTCTGCCTTGGCCTTGCTGCCGGAATTGCGTTCGTGCAAAAAGCTTCACAGAAGCCGTGCACCCTGTTTTGCCCAGGGAAAGCGGCCAAGCTGCAGCAATGTAAAGGAAGCCAAGGGCCCAGGAGCCCGCATGCTTGTGTTGCTTTTACGTTCTTGCTGCCGGAATTGTGTTCGTACAAAATGCTGCGCAGAAGCCGTGCACCTTGTTTTGCAAGCTGCACATGATCCTTAAGTCAGAAGGTAGACCAGGAAAAGCGGCCCAGCTGCGCCAATGTAAAGGTAGCCAAGGGCCCAACGCTTGTGTTGCTTCTGGTGTTGGCTTGAACAGCTCCTGGCGTCACGGGGCCAAAAAAGAAGTAGACCTACCATCTCAGCTTGCAACGTTCTTGCTGCCGGAATTGTGTTCGTGCAAAATGCTGCGCAGAAGCCGCGTACCTTGTTTTGCAAGCTGCACGTGATCCTTAAGTCAGAAGGGAGACCAGGGAAAGCGGCCAAGCTGCATCAATGTAAAGGAAGCCAAGGGCCCAGGAGCGCTTCGGTGTATTGTCTAAAGCAAAAACACACTTGCGTTTTGCGTGGACAAACGTCGGCCATAACTTCGATTAATCTTTCAAGCTAAGCCCATGGTCAGGCGGTCTGGAGGACCGTGTATTTTGCTGGTTGTTACGTTAATCCGGAAGCTGTCGGAACACCCCGCGAGCTTCCTTTTGCGGCCCCGAGACCTTGAAATAAAGAATTCGACCTAACGACCTATGAAATATAATAATTCACCTAGACGACATTGCGCCTGAAGTCGCCAGTGGCCTTTTGAACAGGTCGAAGAGTACAGATCAGGGACTGCCCCGAAAGGTTGGCAATAATATTGCCGAGCCTTTTGGTTCCGATCCTTTGGCCAGATGTGCTTTAGCTGCCGCGAATTTGTTTTTGAGAGACACGGCACTGTGCGCAAGTGGGGCCCGCTTCCACGGCAAGATCGTGCGTTGCCAAGCAGCGAGACAAGTGCCATGCTGGGATTGCTTTGCCAAGCCCAAGATCTCTTCTGTTATCAGTTCATGCTCAGAGAAACGAGTGGTGTTCCCCTGCCCTTTAGACCGTACGCGCTGAATGCATGTGTAAGTCGCATGCCCGAGCCAACAGATGATTCTTCTTGTGCCCATTATGATTTCCGGTACCGCCAAGTCTGCAAGCTTGTCAGGCGATGTGAACTGGAAGGCAGAATGCGCAGGCGAGAAGAGATGTAGGGGTTCCCGGTTTTGGTTACTCGCAAAAGCACCTCACCCCGCAGATTCCAGTTCGAAGTATGTCGCCTTGGGTTGAAGTTGTCCACTACCGGCTTTGGGTTGAAGTTTTTCCGGAAGAGCAACCAAGTGTGCGGCTACTGGTCGAGGTGTGTAAGACCTTCTCCGGGAGGCTCTTGACGTGACCCGGCCATTGACGTAAAGAGTTCCGTTGCATAGCCACGAACTCTGCGCAACGCGGAGTGCGAAGAAGCACCATTTGAGGAATGGGGGCAAGTGCTCCGGCAATTCTTGGATGCAAGATGCCCCCCTTTTTGCCTCTCGAAAGGGCGGGCCCAAGACCTTCCAAGAGCGGCCAGAGCACTGTGCCCATCCGGATGTTGCTTGAATCCGCCCTTAAGGGCATGCGCTCTGACAGCTTATGAGTGAAGGCAGACATGCCAGTGTGGTGGCTCTGGGATATTTGGCCTTGCATAGCGCTGTACATGGGGTATGACTTCTCAAGAGGAACATGGTGTCGCAGATCTCCCAAGAAGTGAGGCGGGCCCTCCTTGATCAGTTTTGAATGGACGCCAACATGAAACCAGCTCCACTTGCAGACGCATCCATGTTGAACATCTCACAATTACCAGCCAATTTGAGTTCTGTTTGGCGAGCCATGTGACGTTCCCAGAAGTATTCGTTGGCCGAACCGTTGAGGCGACGCGTGTGCACGATTCAATCTACGTTCCGAGCTTAGTTGTTGAATCATGGCAAAATATGAAACAACTGACAACGACAAACGTGGATGTTGAATGTTGAAGGATGCTACATAGACAAATGAGCCAGAACCAGAAGCCTTTTGGGAAGGTGAAGTGGGGGGAACATGTGCAATGAATAGAAGCGGATGTCCCCTGGTGTTTCCTTGAATTTGGGCGCTTCGCCATCACAATCTGCGCTTGAAGCATGCCTTTGAATTCGCTAAAGGTGTCTTAGCAGGTGCATGGTTGTTCCTCCAAGACTCAAGAGGAAGCAAAGTCAAGAACGCCAGGGGAGAAAACGGCCCAGCTACTTACTTGAGCTGCCGTCGACAAATTGTCCGCTGTTGTAGGTAGTTTTCTCGGTCTCATTGATGTTGTGGGGAAACGCAAGCAACACTGTGCTGCAAAGCATTGTTTGTATGTCACCTCACTTTGGTTGTCTCAAAATGGGAGGGTCCCTCAACCAGTTTCACAGCCGTTTTTCTGGATTTGTTTTTTAAATGTCAAATAGCAAAGGCTCCCAGAATGGTTCTTTGACTTCTGGAACCCCGGCCCCGCCGACAGTGCTAAACCCCTCGGGTCTTGCGGGCCCCATGTGCCGAGGACTTGCAATCCATGGACTCTCGAGCACTACCGAGAGTGTATCTTTCCGCTCGATGGCAAAGCGAGCTGCAGTACTGTGATGAAATGTGGCTTGCCGATTTCACTGTCCAATCTGGCCGCCATATGGGCGTCCACACGAGGAATCCTTGCCCGGCTGTTGCAGGCAGCTGCCAAAAGCGTCCGAGTGCTCGCTTTTGATGCAGGGATGCGACGCATGGCACACCCGGCGCAAGAATGGCAGACAGTGTGTTTCTGCAATTTGCCCCGAATCATCAGTCATTGGTAAGGCTGCAGCAAAGCGAGCATGTTCTTGAAGGGCGTTTCAGCCCATTTAAGCTGAGGCCATTGCGAAAAACTGCCAAGCGCTTGTGCCGAAAATGAGGCGCCTTCATGGCCTGCGCACCGTGCATCAGGAAGTGCTCCCTTCCAGCGCCACAGTGTCCAGCAAAGTGTCTGTTGTGACACACAGCCCCTTGCAGGTTTGCCATGATCCAACCCGGCTACCGCATCATGCGCCTGCCTCACTGCACACTGCTGACAATGCTTTATACGGTCCCTGGCTCCCCCATTTTTGGTGCTGCGCCCAGCCCAGCCAATCAAATGAGGCTAGGCCAACTGCAGGAGCAGTTTTCATTGTGGATGCACGCTTGCAGCAATGCGTCCTTCTGCTGGCAAGCTTATGATCCTGTTGGGTTTCCCTCCAAAACAACCTGAAACGGGGGATTGCAAGCAGAGGATTGTCATGTCTCAGCTGCTGTTGCCCGACCACTTGGCAGCAACTGCAATCCTGATTTCCAGCAATCTTTGTAATGTCTCAGCTGCTGTTTCCCGACCACTTGGCAGCAACTGCAATCCTGATTTCCAGCAATCCTTGTAAGATGGAGCTGCGCAACGCTCTTGCTCAGTGTTAAGTACCGCTAGTTCGGTGGTTCGCCGTGGATGCGCAGACAGTGAGTGCACACTCCACAAGAGGAACATTGTGTCGCAGATCTCCCAAGAAGTGAGGCGGGGCCGAACTTGAGCGACTCATTTTGGGATGTCTTTTGGTTGCACCCCTCCTCCTTGATCAGTTTTGAATGGAAGCCAACATGAAACCAGCTCCATTTGCAGACGTGACGTTCCAGAAATTATTGGTTCAGACCGAACCCTTGAGGCGACGGGCACACACAATTCAATCCACGTGCCGAGCTTAGTTGTTGAACCATGGCAACATGTGAAACAACTGACTGCGACAAACGTGGATGTTGAATAAAGGACCTTACATGGGTTTCCTTGAATTTGGGCGCTTCGCCATCACATTCTGCACTTGAAGGTGAACATGTATTCAAGGGTTGGTTCACCATGCTCTTTTTTTTTCCGGCGGTGCTGGTGATGGCGCGGGTGCATTTTTGCGAGAGCTCTGTTCGGGGTGCTGTGCGGGGTGTTGTTGGAGGTGCGGCAGGATGCTGGGGGCAGGATGCTGGGGGCATGCTGCTGTTTGGGTGGCTTTTTGAGGTGACTTCGCGGGCGCAGTTGCCCCAGATAGCTTTAGCTATTGGGGCTCTTACTTCTAAGATGTGGGGTTTTGTTGTGCGAAATCGGGCCAGGTGGGTGCTGCAGGTGGTCAGGGTGGGCGGTGCTTGTTTTGCCATGCTGTCGCTTTGGTCAGAGAGCTGTTTGCAAGGTGTTTGGTCCGCTCAGCGGTACCATGTTGCTGGTCGTGCTGTTGTGGGTCGAGGTGCTGGTCAAGGTGCTGGTCAAGGTGTGCTCAGGGTGGCTGGGGGTTCTTGCTTGCCGATCCTGGTCTTATAGAGGATATTGGTTCGTTCAGTGTCATCGCGCTTCCTGATTGGGTCAAATTTCCCATGGGTGGGCAAAGTCTGAATCATTTGCGCACTGGTAGCGTTTGTCTAACATGACCTGACTTCCCCTTACACAAGCTGCAGGCGTGGGTTTGAATGTGTATATATATATATATATATATGTAGATGTGGTTTGGCAGTCTTGCGGGCCCCACGCGCCGAGGACTTGCAACCCATGGGCTCTCAAGCCCTACCGAGAGCGATGGCAAAGCGAGCTGCAGTGCTGTGATCAAAAATGCGGCTTGCCGATTTCACTGTCCAATTTGGCCGAGCCACACGGGCGTCCACACGAGGAATCCGGGCCCGGCTGTTGCAGGCAGCTGCCAAAAGCATCCGAGCCATGTGCCCGCGTTTGATGCGAGGCATGGCACACCCGCCGCAAGAATGGCAGATTATGTGTTGGGTAGCTTGAATCCCTTCAGCGTGCGACGCCTGAGGAAACCAGGAATTGTCTTCCGGGTCATCAGTCATTGGTGGGGCTGCAGCAAGGCAAGAGTTTTCTTGAAGGGCTTTCAGTTTTTTAAGCTGGGGCCCTTGCGAAAAACTGCGAGGCTTTGGCTTGTGCCGAACACGCGCCTTGGCCTGCGCAACGTGCAGGAAGCGCTCCCTTCCACCAAAGCGTCTAGCAAAGTGTCTTTGACTTGAGACACAGCCCCTTGCAGGTTTGCCCATCCAACCTGTCTACCGCATCTCATGCCTGCCTCGCTGCGCACAGCTGACAATGCTTTTGTGACTCCGAAACATCAAAGACCTCCAAGCCCCAGTCTGTAGAGTAAAACATACCAAGACACACGGTCCCTTGGGTTCCCAATTTTTGTGGTTCTGCGCCCAGCCAACGAAATGAGGCTAGGTCAACTACAGGATCAGCAAAGCGAATTCCTTGCCGGAGCAGTTTTCATCGTGGACGCACGCTTGCAGCAATGCCATGCTTCCTTTTGCTGGCAAGTTTTGATCCCCTTGAGTTTCCCTCCAAAACAACCCAAAACGGGGATTGCAAGCAGAGGATTGTCATGTCTCATGGCAGCAACTGCAATCCTGATTTCCAGCAATCCTTGTAATGTCTCAGCTGCTGTTGCCCGACCACTTGGCAGCAACTGCAATCCTGATTTCCAGCAATCCTTGTAATGTCTCAGCTGCTGTTTCCCGACCACTTGGCAGCAACTGCAATCCTGATTTCCAGCAATCTTTGTAATGTCTCAGCTGCTGTTGCCCGACCACTTGGCAGCAACTGCAATCCTGATTTCCAGCAATCTTTGTAATGTCTCAGCTGCTGTTGCCCGACCACTTGGCAGCAACTGCAATCCTGATTTCCAGCAATCTTTGTAATGTCTCAGCTGCTGTTGCCCGACCACTTGGCAGCAACTGCAATCCTGATTTCCAGCAATCCTTGCAATGTCTCAGCTGCTGTTGCCCGACCACTTGGCAGCAACTGCAATCCTGATTTCCAGCAATCCTTGCAATGTCTCAGCTGCTGTTGCCCGACCACTTGGCAGCAACTGCAATCCTGATTTCCAGCAATCCTTGTAAGATGTAGCTGCGCAGCGCTCTTGCTCAGTGTTAAGTGCCGCTAGTTCAGTGGTCCGCCGTGGATGCACAACCTGAACCAAAAGGGGTTCTCGACTTAAAGACATACCCAGATATTGCACTAAGCCATAATGTCAGGCTTCGCCGGTCCGTGAGATACGATCGAAAAGCGGAGGTCTGATGGAAACCCGAAAAACTCCTCCTCTGTCAAGGAAAGGGTCTCACCAGTTCGGCTTAGGCTTGCAAGGAGCCTTGAAACGAGGTAGAGAAATAGTCTATCAACAACAGGCTCAGGAGGCGCCCGTACACTTGAGGCGGAGCTTGTGGTGGGGTCACGGAGTCTCTGTCTAGGCTCACTGAGCTGGCTTGGAGTTGGACCGAGAAGTCGGACACTGGGGCGAGCCTGCCTTGGCGGAGCCAGTGACACTCCACTGGTGCGCATTGGCAGGCGAGGTGCAAATCTTGCAGAAGAGGCAGAGACTGTCTGCAAATCAGTCCACGCCACGCTGTAAGAAAGCACGCTGCCCGGCTGTGTTGAGCTGACATTGCCAGCCCATGTGTCGCACGTTTGCTTTTTGGATTCTCATCGAAAGCAGTCTTACCAAAGCACGAGGGGGTTTACGGGGTTGAAGGGAATCTCACGAGAGCAACGCTTGTTGTCTCTGCCGGCAAGCAAGCTGCGTCGGCTTTCCAAAGGTGAAGCCCTGCGTGTGTTGCGCTGATGGCCTTTCTGGTTGCCGTGGTGAAAGTGGAGGGTTCGCGCTGCAATTGTTCTTGTGCTTAGGAGGGGGTAGTTGGGGTTGGATTCCGCGAAAATTACAAAAGGAAGCTGGCGCCCGACTTGCCTGTCTATTCCCGGCAAGGATAGAGTTGAGTGGTAAATACCCCTTGGCCAATCAAATTCATCAGCGCCATTGCTGTGTGAAAGAACAGCTGCCACAGAACCCACGTGAATAGTCTGAGAGACCTTGAACTGCATGGTGGTCAAACATCTGCCCCCCACATCGCAAGCAGACAGTGATCCTTGCCCACGCCGACACGCCGTGCTGCTCCCAGATGCCGGAATTGCTAAGACTGCCCGTCCGAATACAAAGCTCATGAGCGTCGTTTTTCTTTGCCCGTGCAGTCGAGGGTATGTTCAAACGCTGCAGCTCTTTAAATATTGTTTGATTGCTCTCAGCTTAACACCTCAAGCTGATGCTAAGTCGAAAGGCCTTCAGCCAGGGTGGCCTTGGGCTCAATCTTCCACAGGCTCAAGGCACCATTTTTGCAATCCACGTGCGAGTTGCCAGCTGTGAAAAGCATCCAATAGCTTACAGGCCCGAGACAAATAGCTGCTAATAGCTGCTGACAGCGCTGTTTGCCTCCGGCGAAGCCTTGCTATCTCAGGCCGAGAAGCTCCTCGGCTGACTCCCAAAAGGAAATCTCTCGTGTTTCTCGGCGGGTCTCAGCCCAACCTGAACTTTGCTTTGGCCTCGTGCAAAATGCTGCGCAGAAGCCGTGCACCTTGTTTTGCAAGCTGCACATGATCCTTAAGTCAGAAGGTAGACCAGGAAAAGCGGCCCAGCTGCGCCAATGTAAAGGTAGCCAAGGGCCCAACGCTTGTGTTGCTTCTGGTGTTGGCTTGAACAGCTCCTGGCGTCACGGGGCCAAAAAAGAAGTAGACCTACCATCTCAGCTTGCAACGTTCTTGCTGCCGGAATTGTGTTCGTGCAAAATGCTGCGCAGAAGCCGCGTACCTTGTTTTGCAAGCTGCACGTGATCCTTAAGTCAGAAGGGAGACCAGGGAAAGCGGCCAAGCTGCATCAATGTAAAGGAAGCCAAGGGCCCAGGAGCGCTTCGGTGTATTGTCTAAAGCAAAAACACACTTGCGTTTTGCGTGGACAAACGTCGGCCATAGCTTCGATTAATCTTTCAAGCT